GAAACTTCCCCGTTACTCCGAGCAGAGAACCAAAGTTTCACCAACACTCCACGATCATGGCTAGCCCACACCACGACGATACCGTGCACGACTTCATGCTCAACGCCGCCGCCAACGGCAGCAAGCAGACGGAGACGTCATGCCCAGCGGAGACCGATGAGAGAGACGGCCAGACTGCGTCTCCGTCGTCAGCAGAACCGACACACCAGGCTGACCGCATGCTCTACTACATACCATTCCTCTGCGGTGGTCCTCGAAACGGGCATTTCCGCAGCGTCCCCAGGCGTGAAAGTATCACCAGTCTCAATATCCTCCGAAGAGCTCTCCTCGGACAGATCTCTCAGAGTTTCTTCTTCAACTTCACGCGGCATCTCCTTTACCTGAAAAGAAGAGGATAAAAGTGAATTGATGACAAAGTCAAATTCACCCTTCCACCGCTAGTCAAATGAAATGGCGCGTGAAGGCCCAAGAACGACGTCTCCGACCTAAGCCCTACTCAATTGGCACAGTTATTATACGAGGAGGTGCCCGGGACAATCCCATTGACTCGCACGGGGAAAAGCTTCCCTGGTACAAAACCCAGACTTTCCATTAGGAAACCACCTGAAAGCTCATAAGCCAGACGGAAATTCACGGTTTCAACTGGTGACAAACGCTTCTATGTCGCAACAACATCAGAATCAACTAAACATCTTAAGCTTCAAATAACTTCGGCGACATCGACAGCAGAAGAAAGTGGCCAAACCACCGCCTGCCACCAACAGTCACCAAAAAACAACCCCTATGATATCTAGTTTCACCCTAACCAAATTCATTCTAAGAACCAGGAGGTAAATAAACCTATGACAAGATAACAGTTCAAGTACTTATGTGGTCGAGGAAGGAAATCTGGGGTCGAAGGGCCCTGGCCAGTGAATGTACGGCGGTCGAACGGAATTGGATTACGGCGGATTGCAGAAATAGAGAACAAGAGTAGAGAGAGAAGCGGAAAATGAAAATGAGCAGCTTCCCCCTCTATTTATAGACGATCCATGGAACATGCACGAGCACGCGCGAATAGGGGCATCATCATAGCCCTAGCCTAGCCATCATTACGCATAAAATATGGCACATGGCTCGAGGCATGCGTGGCACTTCACCTCTTCAGATCACATCAACTATTGGGTTCCCCATATTTTGAACTCCCCGCCAGACAACATTATAGGCCCCGAGCATAGATTTCCTCGGGCACCAAGTAACAGCCTCATCTCAGTAACAAGTGACGACCTTGTCTGGTCCTCCCCGAGATTGCGAACTGCCCTTAAGTCATCACTCTCATGCTCGGGAGCAACGACTTAAGAGGCTCTTATTCTAGACTGGTCAAATGGCTAGGCATGGCCCAATCCACTTCTGCTCCCAGAACGGCCCAATTTCCTAAGTCTGGCCAATTTAGGGGAGCATTTTCCTTTCTGCCCCTCCACCGGGGAAGGTTGGTCGATTGACCTCTAGAGTCAGCTACCCCTCCTCAGTAGTTCATGTCCATCACGCACAGTTCCACCATCCAGAAACAGTCACGACCCTTGTTCCCACTATTGCACCTATGCCCGTAGCAACGACTAGTTTTGGGCACCTATGCTCGTCCTAACGGCTAATTTCTGGCAGTTACCTATTCTTCAGGGAACGATTATCTCGCCCCGAAAATAGGGATCAATGGCTAAGCGCTGTGAGCACTATAAAAACCCTCTCATTTGAGAGGGTCAGGTATTCAATATTCATCCTAATACATCATACATACTCTATAATTGCCCTCTTTTCTCCTGATTCTTACTTTAGCATCAGAGTGCCTTGCAGGTACACCCTCATCTTCATCTCTCACCCAGCATCACAGACATTGTCTCTAGTCTACTTCAGGTTCTGATCAACTAGTAAGATCATGGTGGAGCTGGCAGCTTCTTTCTCTTCGTACTGGATGTACACTTGCGCTTTGAGGAGGAAGGCGTCCAACATTATTTGGGGTTGAATGCCTACTACTTTGGCAAATTTTGTACGGGGACGGAGCCCGTGCTCGAGCGAGAATTTCTTCATGTCGTCGGTCGTGGAGACCTAGACAGCTTCCTTGTTGAACCTTTTGATATAGGCTCTAAGAGATTCATCCTTCCCTTGAATGATGGTCTCAAGGGAGGCTTCAGTCTTTGGGTGGCGGCGAGAGGTCGTGAATTGACTGGAGAACATTCTCCCCAATTGCATCCATGATGTGATGGAATCATCGAGGAGCCTCTTTTACAAGGTCATTGCACCCTTCCTCAGCGTGGTTGGGAACAATGTACATTTGATAGCACCCTGGACGCCACGATAATCGAGCAACGCGTCGATATTATTTATGTGCTCGTCAGGGTCCGCAGTACCGTCATACGTTCTTAGAGAAAGGGGTTTCTCCAGTCCCTTCGGTAGGCGCATAGCCATAATCTCCTGGGACAACGGGCCGCGAGGCTTGTCGTCGCTGTTGCTGCTGGAGCATGATGGAGAGAGGGAGCTTCGTCTATATGTAGGATGGTGATTTCGACGTGGAGATGTGGTTCGTGTCCGGCCCTTGGATCTGGGCGGAGGCGAATGCTGGAACTCTGCTCGTTGATCTCTTCTGGTTCTCTTGGTTCACGGGGAGTACTGGTTCTGGGGGGAGATGTGGTCGCGCTTTCTGACGGCCTGGGACTCTGGTTCTGGAGGTGCCCGACGGTTTTTTTCCCGCCGAGGAGGAGGACTCAGTGATCTCCGGCGCTCTTTCCTCAACGGAGAGGATCTTGGACGGTTGAAATCTTTTAGGGCTCCAATCCTCGAATTCTGATGGAGGATTAGGAGGTTGGTCTTGTTGAGAGCCTCGAGGAGGGCCATCATGGTCGGGTCGGTGTTGGGCGAAACTGGGGCTGGCTGGTGGTCCTGGATGGGCTGGACCTCATAGTGATCGGCGCAAACGGGGGAGGGAGACGCGGTGATTCCATCTCTTTGTTGGTGTCGTCGCCCCCAAGAAGTATTACTCTTGTTGACAGAGAGGAAGGCAGAGTTGCGAGCATCATAAGTATTGTCACGGCTGGTCATGATCAGATTTTGGAAGAACTGTTTTGGTCTCGAATCTACGATGGAAGAAAGACGAGGATAACAAAATTTTCCACAGACGGCGCCATTGATCTTACCGGTTGACCAGAACCTGAAGTGGGATAGAGACAACGTCTGTGATGCTGGGTGAGAGATGAGGAGGGGGTGTACCTGCAAGGCACTACAATGCAAAAGTAAGAATCGGGAGAAAAGATGGCAAGTACATAGTATGTGTGTATTAGGATGAATATTGAATATCTGACCCTCTCAAATGAGAGATTTTTTATAGTGCCCCCAGCACTTGGCTATTGGTTCCTATTTTCGGGGCGAGAGAATCATTCCCTAAAGAATAGGTAACTACCAGAAACTAGTCGTTAGAACGAGCATATGTGCCCAAAACTAGTCGTTGCTACAGTCATAGGCGCAGTAGCAGGTACAAGCGTCATGATTGTTTCTGGATGGTGGAACCGTGCGTGACGGGCATGAACTGCTAAGGAAGGGCAGCTGACCCTGGAGGTCAACCGGCTAACCTTCTCCGATGGAGGGGCAGAAAGGTAAATGTTCCCCCAAATTGGTTGGATTTAGGCAATTTGGCCGTTCTGGGAGTAAAAGTGAATTGAATCATGTCTAGTCATTGGCTCAGTCTGAAACAGTACTTAAAAATATATTATGTTTAAAATAATATAATTTTTAATTTTACTTATAATAAATATTATGGCGTTTTTATTATAAAAAAAAATTGTTCAAGGTCAGGTAGCTTGAAGCCCATTTAGGATCGAACTCTGATAGCAATTTTCAAACTCATATTCGAAATTAACCTTTTTGCTCCAATTCTAAAAGCCCGAACCCACTAAGACCGACCCGTTTAAAGTCGAGTAGTCCATTTTAACAACTCTAATTAACACTAACATTGATTGTCATTATATAATGCATAGTTTAATGCATAGTTTAGATGAAATTTTTCTGATGGTTATAATCACATAGATATATTGTTTAGTCGTTTTATTTATTTATGGTGTTGTTTTAATTGTTGTAACCGAATATTGTAATCTTTATGAAAAAAACGATGTTTTCAATACTAAATTAAATAATTACATAAAGTAAATTACGTATAAAATGCAAGACTAAAAGTTAATTATTTAATTGTGTGGTGAAACTTGCTCTAACATTGGATTGTATGATTATGCCTAGACAGACCGCATCCACTATATAATCTCACCATTTTATAAATACACAGGTAATTGGTTCAATTGCGTTGATTTTATTGGCAAAACAAAATTGAAACTCCTCTTCAAAAAAACAGAACTGTAGAATCTTAAAATATGCAGAACCTTAGAATTACAGCTTAAAATGACAACTATTTTTTCTGATTAGAGTCTCGAATTGAATTCTAAAACAGACTATAACATCACTAAAATGACAATCTTTTTTCTGATTAGTCTCAAATCGAATTCGACCATTTTTATCAAAAATTACTAATATGTTAGTCCCAATGAAGAGGGGTCAGCAGATTTTATCACCCAATACAAACTTAATTACACTTTGAAATTGGTCCGTGTTGTTATAATAACCCAATTCTCGTGTGAAGAACCCGTTGCTGCTGGTTTCATTTTTATCATAATAACAATTTTATACAGTTTCAATGCAACGGAGGAAATAATCATAATCATAGCACAAGTTTGAGAAAATTTTACACGAATTTGTCTCATTATGATTTTACACGTTATCTTTCTAAAACATGATACAATAAAAATGTAAAATTTTAGGAGGTAAATGAACCATTGAAATAGTAAATAATCTAGATTCATTGACAACAAAACAGCAGAATGCAAATGAAGATATTGACTTTAAGTGTATAACAAAATTATTAATCACAAAATTTCCAACAGAATAAAGACTGATGCAAATGAAGATACCTAGTATAAGTGTATTTATCTAAGTGCATTCATTTTGTCCCGCAGGTAGTAGAGCTTGGCTCTTCTCACTTTCTTCTTGTCCAGCACCTTTATCTCCTTTATGTTAGGTGAATACCTGTCACAAGTATCCCATGGCTCAGGAATTAACCCATAAGTAATACGACTTCAAACATAATCAACTTATGATGTTGTGTTGTGATGATAATCATGCGAATTCTAGTCACGAGCTCATTGTTTAGGCTCTTCTAATGCATTTTGGTTTCCCCAAAAACTAATTCAAAAAACACACCTTATGTCAGTTACTATAGCTAAATATTTCGTATTTGCAATATGAATTTGATGTGTTGTGTGTGTGTGTGCATGGAATCCAGTTCTCATGGAAGCTGTCCCTTATATTCTTTTTTTTTGGGATGCAAGTGAAGCGATCAAGGCATTTCCTTATTTAAATACACCATTCTAAAAAGCCAACAAACAGAGACATGAATCACATGATTATGTTTTACCAGTTCAAAATAGCTAGTATACAAGCCAATTAAGAAATAATAGCTCAGTTCTACGAAAATCCAGCCAATGTGCAGTTTAGGAAAGGTTCGAGTGTATGGTGGATCTATTAGTTTTCCTGGGAAAGAGGCTGGTTTTCAAGTCTACAAGCAGACATACAAAAAATATGGAAGGTAATACTTACAGTGGGAATAAAGACTCAATCCCAACCCCGGCTACCATTCTTCTAATTCTGAATGTAGTATTGAGTCCAGCATTACGCCTTGCAATAACAATCCCTTTTATAATAGAAACGCGCCTCTTGTTCTCCGGCACTTCCTATTATATTAGACATAATAAATTGTATCATTCTCATGAACACAAAGCACAAGCACCAATATATCTTCAAATTCAAATTTTCTTACCACTTTGAGCTGCACAATATAACCAGGCTTTATATCAGGCATCTCTCTTTGTCCTTTCACCTCCTCCACTGCTTCCTTGTCTAAAATCTAAAGGATATAAATAAATACCAACAATTTTTACAAATGATTAAACAACACAAACAAATCCCTTTATTAAATAAATCAAAGGGAAGTCACATACCTGCATAATGTGCCTCGCGGTTTTATCTAATCTTTTAAATTTGATGGGACGAGGCACTTCGGGTTCCGGTAAGGAACTATCTTGAGAAGAAAAATCAACAGAACTCGTCTCCGTAGACATAAATCTACTTCGGAAATGAGGGACAAGCATAGAACCATGCTGAACTGAAGGCAATCTAGTCAAACAATTGCCAGGCTCAACTCTTAGGAAAGCATTTGTTTGAGAAAACCCAGTAAACTGCACAAGAAATTATAAGCACACTTAGAGCTTTATCTTTGTTTGGATAAACAAATTAATTAAACACTTATAAGTTATAGCATAAGCGACTTATATATAGATGCACATATATAAGTTATTTCTGTAATGAAAGATTACAAAATGAGCATACAAGCATTTAGGCCCCTCCGACCAATTAAATCCTCCTGTCTTCCCTCGGTTAGTCCCTTTAGTCTCGGACATTAACTGAATAAAAAATTGCTAATGTGGCTACTGAGAATGACCAAATGGCATGTTGATGAAAACAGGCACCAAAATGAAAGAACATCTTCATTCTTAAGCAAATTGCTTACAGCATAAGAAAATTCATAATGAAGCAAAATTCAAAGAGAGGTCAAGTATGCAGAAGAATGTAATTTATCAGTGGAACACAAGATAACTAAAAGTGGATGGTCAGCTTGGTAAGATGATGCAGAGTTGAAGGCGATTCGAAGCATCTGAGGATTTCGACACCGCCGGCACAGTCGTACTGGAGATCTGAACGGAAGGCGACAGAGTAGGCACCGGTGACGGTGGTGGTTCCTTCATCGCAGGACCTAGATCGGTGGCTTAAACTGATACCATGTTAGAAACTAAGCTAGATGAAGATACATTTTCTGGTCTCATCCTATAACTGAATTCAGTTATTTGCAAGAGTTAGTTACAAGAGTGTTGACACCTTGTTACTTATAGAGTAACAACGTGACCTGCTATAGCAGGTGATTTATACTTCTAGGGCTGACAGATGTCAGAAAAACCAATCTACTGGACTACATTCTATATCTACTCTAATAAACAATAAAGTAAATGAGTAACTCATCTAGCACAATATCAATGTTAAGAAAATAGTGAATAATGACCGTGAAAAACAAATAAGGCAGGTTAGAGACTTGGCAGAATGAGAATCAGGATCCCAGGTATGTAAAGAAGATGATGATTAACTCACTGCTCTCATGATTAAGAATGGATGAATTAAAGGGATTTTAGGCTGAGTCGGGGACCAATGTGACACAGCGTCACAGGACTAAAATGGTGGTTTGCCCTTATAATAAATTAAATTGTTTTATAAGATTTTTCAACAAGTTTATCTTAGAGGGCAAATAAGCTGAAGCTGTTTACATAAGCTCTTAAAAACAGTCTCATATACCAACCAATCAATCCAAACAGACCTACATCCCAAATTTCCATAGCTTATACAAAATGGCAAAACCTAAACTGAAACACAATCTTGAAAAAAGAAACAATACAACACATGAACGAACCTAATCTAGCAATTAATATCATATTCAATTCAATTACTCATTCAATCATGCATAAGCAACAACAAGAAGAAAAAAAATAGAAATGGAGTGTAAGTGCTTACACCGATCGGCGGAGAAGTAAGGTTGGAGAAAGAGCGTGGCCGGGAATAGGTTGGAAGATGAAATTCCAGTGGAGAGCGAGTGAGGGGTGCACGAAGTAGAGACGAGAAGAGCTTTCGTGAAGCCATGTCCGGATCCTAGAGAGGAAGAAGAAAAGCCCTGGTGTTAGGGTTTATGGTTATCGTTCGAAAAAATGATTCGATTTACTGAATCAGTATTGTAGTATTGTGGTGCACCTTCCTGCACTGAATTAGTTATCAGCGACTATACAAAAGGGGGATCGGTGTGATAATGAAAATGAGATGAATCTAATGGTCCGTAACTGCGGTCCATCATGGACATGTTTTGACGCCAGCTATTTTATCATGAGAAAAATGTTTTTTTTTTTAATTATTAAGATAAGAATAATGTTAAGATCACTCTCAAACATTTTTCTAACCTATTATTTTATGGATAAAATATAATAAAACTATTTTTTGCCTGTTACTCCCTCTACAAGCAGTTCTCATCCGAGAAGCCTATCAATAAGTGGTATTTCTTGCCTGAGGAGTTTATCTTATCTTCGTCATGACTTGCAGCAAATGAACATCTCTATCGAGCAGTTGGGCTTCCATTTTCCTTTTCATTTTGAAGTGCGGGGGAGAAGGAACTGAATCATATTCAGGAGAGTATGAATCTTGAAATATGAAGAAGTTCGTTTTATCCTTTAGTAAAAGAAGGAGCCGAAGGAGAGCACAAAATCTTGAAGTATGAAGAAGTTCGTTTTATCCTTTAGTAAAAGAAAGAGCTGAATCATATTCAAGAGAGCACAAAATCTTGAAGTATGAGGAAGTTCATTTTATCTTTTAGTAAAAGAAGGAGTTGAATCGTATTCAGGAGAGCACAAAATCTTGAAGTATGAGGAAGTTCATTTTATCCGATGAGCGACAGTCCCTCCAGTGGAGCTTATCAATCAATATTTCATCAATTACCCACAGATAAACAGCAGTCTCTTTATTTGAGAGCTTATCCAGTTTGGCATATAAGTCCCTTCCAACGATAAGTGGCAGTTCTCGCTCGAGAAAGCTTATCAGGGCGTTTCCCATTTAAGTCCATTTATTTTGGTATACAACCGGTTTTACCCTGTATATTTTCTACGGATTCCTGAAAATTCCGTTTGATCCTGTCACGAGGGAGAATTTCCAAAAGCTCGAATGTTATTCTTTGCTCAATGCTCCAGCATTCTGTTAATCGATCCTACAGTCATGCAGATCCAGTTTTATTTTATCCTAGAGTATCAGCCGGTCATGCCCGAACCTGTTGAACATTTACTTTTAGATATTCTCCAGTGGAGGCTGTCTCATTGGTGCCATCTCCATTGAGAATCCCGTTTGTGTCGTTCCCTTTCTGAAAGTGACAATTGGTCGTGCTCGCACCAATTGACCATCGTTTTAGAATTCTCCAGTGTCGTGTTGTCATCCCAGTGCGTCGTATTCCCCAGTGTGGTTTGTTCGTCGCGTTTGTCCTCTGAGTCGTCGTGTCGTCTGCATCCTTGCATTTATCATTCCAGCATGCGCATCGTATTAGATTCATGGCATTGTCAGCATTTTATTTCGTTTCGTTTTGTCCATAGCATTGCATGTCACTGCATCTAAGGGCAAAATTTTCGGTTAACTATATTTAAATCCCTTTCACCATGATTTCTCGAGCCTACGCTGCTCAAATCATTCGGTGAAGTTATTTAAATAAAGGCAACTGTAATACCCCAAATTTTGCCCTAAGATTTTTCGCCTCATCTCGCATTTCATTGCATTTTCGCATTGCATTTAACCAGTCGCTAACAGGTTGGTGTAGTCGTCTGATTTTTGCAGGAAAATATCATGTGGCGTGCTCTTTAGTTCACGAAGGGCAAAATGGTCATTTGTTGGCAGTTGGCTGTCAATTTGTGAATTTGAATTGTCGTCGGGGAATTTGAGCCGATTGAGCCCGTTGATGAGAAGCGAGGAATTTGATCAGAGGTCTTGCTTCGGTTGGTTTAATCAGGAGTTTCATTTGAGATTAATTTGGTTGAAAGAGCGCGATCATCGGGCGGATTGAATTTTATCCGGATAAAGTTGCTCATTTGAATGGCCGGAAGATTTCATCGGAAGTTATGTCGGGAATGGGATTAATCGATTAAATTGGAATAACTAGGAATTAATAGAAAAAAGGATTTTTCATTTCAATTTTTATTTCCTATTTTAAATTAATTTCATCAATCATGTGTCATTTTTTTCATTCATCATATTTCATTTTTTAAATTAATTTCATTGCATTTTTAAAATCAATCATATATCATTTTTTAAATTAATCTCATTTTTTAATCAATCATTGTTTCATTGTTTAAAGAAAAATCAATTTCATTTTTAATTTTAGTCTCATTTCATTTTAAAATAATTTCATTTCATTTCTATTTTTCATTTTAAATTAATTTCATTTTTCTTTAATATTATTTTCATCATATACATTTTTATGCTAAGTTTTAAATTTTATTATTATTTGCATATCAAAAAAATAAAAAAAAATAATAATAATGTTTTAAGAAAAAAATAAAGGATTTTTATTAGAAATAATAAGAATTCTTTACAAAAAAAATAATAAATAAATAGAGTTATTAATTTCAATTTTATTTTAATTATTTAAAATTTTGTAATTATAACTAATATTAATTTAAGTTGGGCTTTAAAATGGCCATTATATTAGAGTTAACCCTAATTTGTTACCTATATAAACATAAGTGAGGGGAGAAAACTTCATGAACATCAGAAAATCAAGAACAGATCAGCAGAGGAAGAGGGGATTCTTTCGGAAGAACCCTAAAAGGTTTGAATTCATCATCGGGCAAGCGCTATCGGCGAGCAAAAAGTCCCAACGGCTGAGGCTCAGTTCGTTCAACATCATCGTCGTTACCGTAACCTTTCTCTTTCCTTTGATTTACGGTATTTTACGATTTTTGTGTGTTGTTTTGTTCATTGATTGTAGATTAATGGAAAGAATAAATAGAAGAATGAACCATTGACATGCAAGGATTGAAGGAGAGGAAAAACTTCGATAGCCATCCATGGAGAAAACGACAGAAGCCTTTTTATTTACGTTTCATTTGTTTTTTTTATTTTTTTATTCAATTGTTTATTTTTTCATTTATATTAACTATGTAGTTTGTAATTAATAATGCAATTAAGTTTAGGTAAGCTATTTCAACCAAAAAACATAACGTAATTAGTTTTAAAAATTAAGATCTTTCTAAAAAGTTTTTTCAAAATTAAACCATTTTTTATTTAAAAACATATTTCTAAATAAAACAGTTTTTCTTAATTAAAACTTTTTTCCAATTAAAACCATTTTTCATTAAGTTAAAACAAAAATTAAAAAATGATTTTTCTTTCACTAAAACAAAAATTAAAACCTTTTTCGTTGAATTTAAATCAAATTTTTTTCATTAAAATTTAAAACATTTTTTTTATTAAAATTTAAAACATTTATTTTCGATAAAGTTAAAACATTTTTTTTCAATAAGATTAAAACATTTTTACAATAAAATTAAAACAAATTTCTTTAATGAAATTAAAACAAATTTTTAATAAACAATTGGAATAGCTTCTCCATTAAAACATAAAATTAATCCTCCTCTTTTCAATACAAATTCAAAAAATAAAGTTTTTGAGTTAGGCGTTTCCTTTTCGCCTGACGCCCATTAGTGTTTGTTTAAGCTTATTGTCTTCTCATATATTTGTACTGTTTCGGTTTCATGGATGTAATTTATGCGAGGCCATGATCGCAGTTTTTTTATTTTCGTATTTGTTTTTGGGATTTGTAATTTACGCGAGTGATCGTCGCGATGCTTTCTTTACCGCTTTCGTTATTTTCCCGCACTTTATTTCTGCCGTATGATAATTTGCTATATCTTGCATGTTTTTTACCGTTAATCACCCTTCGAAGGAACTAGGTCTAGCCGTTTGACTGCTGAGTCAATAGTCCTAACCCTTTACCGTTTTCAAAACCCTAATAGCCTAGGCGTCCCGCCGTGGACGAAAATACCCTTTACCCTAGCTTTTAGGTCAAAGAGTCGTCGTACTCTGCTTTAGGGTTTCCCGCCGAGGAATCCCTACTTTCAACCCTAATTTCAATTCAACATTTCAACGTAGAAATAGGAGTTTTAGAGACTCCACGTAAGCGTGTCCTTAAGATACGTTTACTCCCCTTGAAACCTTGACCACAGTCAAGAAGTTTCTAACCTCCCTTTCGAGGGGAACTACAATTACTCTGATTCCATTCCCGTCAGGATATGTAGGCACAAGATGCGATGTCTTGCCGAGTAAACGTAGGAATAACCCTTAGGTCTCTTTAGGTCACTCTATCTCTTAGCTCAATATATATTCCAAACAGATAATAAATAAAAAAGCATACATAAGCAAAAGGTTCCTGTAGAGTACTACAGAAGTTTAGGGTGCTAGTGCCTTCCCTAAATTTAACCAACCCCTTACCTAGGTCTCTCCCCGCATTGTGTTTACGATGCAAAAATAGGTTTTCCCTCTTTTGACATTTTCCTTCGGATAAATCAAAGAGCGGTTGTGAATCAAGAATTGTGATTCAAACTAATTAATAGTTTGATATCCTATTTCCACCGCAACAATACTTTTTAGGGAACTATAAACATTTGTTTCTACTGTCATGAAGAAGATTCTGCAGAAGTGCTCAGTAGGGCAAGCTGAAAAGTTAAGAGTAAGTAAAGCTGAATGTCATACTGAATGTCATGACACTGATCATATGACATCAGGCGCACATAGTTTGTTTTTCTGTTATGATACCTGATATATCTCAGGCTATAATTCAGGAAACCTGTTATGGCTTCTCAATTATCTCAGGCGAGATTCTAGTCAAGGCTGGACAGAACATGAAGCAGTTGTGACCTAATTTGACAGCACCTTGAATTATGGAAAGTGGTTTAACTTGGTTTAACCTAAAGTTTGTTACTTCTGACCAGCCCAAACCCAGTCTGCATTGCTATAAAAGGAGGATCAGAAGTAGAGGAAATCAAGCACTCACATTAAGAACAACTTGAGTGTAAAATAGAGGTCTAGGGTTTGAGAGTCCCTTGTGTGTAAGTCAC